TATGCTGTGGGCATCAAACACTTGTAAAACATATTATAAATAAAGCACATGGTGTTGAACTTGCCACAAGTATATCTGAGGACTGTTTGCAGCAAAAGAATCCAGGCTGAGTGAATCCCACCCTGTAACAATTTGGACTTCAAGACAGGTCAAAGGGTTGATGATTAATAGTGTTTTTGGGAAGGAATGCTGCAGTCTTCTGTGGTTGCCCTGATTGCTGTTGTCAGAATTAAGGCCACTTTAGTTCTGAAAATGAGCATCTACAAAAGCGTTTAAGGTGCTGTACCTTACGTTCATCAACTTCACACTTTAGTGCTGGGGTGGCCAACCTGAGCCTCAGAAGGAGCCAGAATTTACCAATGTACATTGCCAAAGAGCCACAGTAATACATCAGTAGCCCCCCCTCAACTCCCCTCCTGCTCCCAGCGCCTCCCACCCACAGATCAGCACCTCCTCCTCCCTCCCCCCCTCCCCAATTAGCTGTTTCCTGGCATGCAGGAGGTTGGGGGGGAGGGGGAGGAGCGAGGGCACAGCAGGCTCAGGGGAAGGAGTGGGGGCAGGGCCCGTGGCAGAGCCAGGGGTTGAGCAGTGAGCACCTCCCAGCACATTGGAAAGTTGGCACCTGTAGCTCCAGCCCCGGAGCCGGTGCCTACACAAGGAGCTGCATATTAACTTCTGAAGAGCCGCATGTGGCTCCGGAGCCACAGGTTGGCCACCCCTGCTTTAGTGTGACATTATACAGACAAGCCTTTAATAAAGGAAGGGAATAAGGGGAAAAAGTTGATTTTAATTCCTTTAGTCTAAAATGTTTTAACTGGTTTTCCATAATAACCATGCAAATGGGGGGAAGGGAGCTGCAGACATTCAGCAGCAAATACCTCTGGTGGTAAAGGAGCAGTTTTAGCTACACAATAATAGTAGCAGAGTTTTCAAGCCATGAATAATTCAGCCAACATCTCAGTCAGCATTATAGTCTGTATCCTCAGTGCTAAGAAAATGTGTGTTTCTGGCACTGGGTAACTAACATACATTAGCTATCCCACTGTAAAAACACAGTGGAGACAAGGCACTTTAGCGATGTCACCAAAAGGCAGAATGTGAGATCAGCACTTTGCCATCTGGGCATCGAATGCAAAGAACTAACAGGATAAATCACAGTATGAAACAGTGCACATGTCAGAATGAAAAACAGCACTGAAATGTATCCTCGCTTTTTAAGTGTGCTCACAGATCTTGGGAGACAGGCCAGTCCTTGCTTACAGACAGACCCCCAACCTGAAGCAAATACTCACCAGCAACCACACAACAAAAACACTAACATAGGAACCTATCCTTGCAACAAAGCTTGTTGCCAACTGTGTCCACATATCTATTCAGGGGACACCATCATAGGGCCTAATCACATCAGCCACCCCTTCACCAGCACATCTACCAATGTGATATATGCCATCATGTGCCAGCAATGCCCCTCTGCCATGTACATTGGTCAAACTGGACAGTCTCTACGTAAAAGAATAAATGGACACAAATCAGACATCAAGAATTATAACATTCAAAAACCAGTCGGAGAACACTTCAATCTCTCTGTTCACTTGATTACAGACCTAAAAGTTGCAATTCTTCAACAAAAAAACTTCAAAAACAGACTCCAACGAGAGACTGCTGAATTGGAATTAATTTGCAAACTGGACACCATTCAATTAGGCTTGAATAAAGACTGGGAGTGGATGTCATTACACAAAGTAAAACTATTTCCCCATGTTTATTTCCCCCTCTACTGTTCCTCAGACGTTCTTGTCAACTGCTGGAAATGGCCCACCTTGATTATCACTACAAAAGGGTTTTTTTCTCTCCTGCTGGTAATAACTCACCTTACCTGATCACTATCCTTACAGTGTGTATAGTAACACCCATTGTTTCATGTTCTCTGTGTATATAAAATCTCCCCCCTGTATTTTCCACTGCATGCATCCGATGAAGTGAGCTGTAGCTCATGAAAGCTTATGTTCAAATAAATTAGTCTCTAAGGTGCCACAAGTACTCCTTTTCTTTTTGCGGATATAGACTGACAAGGCTGCTACTCTGAAACCTGTCATATTTTGTTATGTTTTTCTTCAAGTGATTGCACATACCATTCCACTTTGGGTGTGTGGAGTGACTCATACACCAGAGTCAGAGATTTTTCCCTAAGCAGTTTGAAGTATAAACAATTCAGTAGAAACATCAACATCTACTTATGCAACAAATGAAGTAACTGAAGAGTAAAGCGTGCAGGATTGAGGATTATTTACAGAAGTAAGGATTTCAGTTACAAAAGTGGGGGGAATCACATTACTGGAAATCCAAAATGGTATTGAATGTTATAGGAATGTATCACGGTTTTAAGTATGTGGCTTCTTTGCGAGAGGTAACAGCAAAAGTATGAAGTTAATGCACTCAGAGGCTCAGAAGAAAAAAAAGGAAATTAAAAGAACCCAAATGTTTTTTTTTTAAATTTAATACATTTGAGGTATATAACTCATGATTTTTGAATACTTGTAGTTGTCAATCTATCAGGGGTTTTTATATCTCTATTTAGTAAAATTTACAGTAGAAATTGCTTCTGAGAAGGATTTCATACAAGAAAGTATAGTTAAGCGAATAGTGGGGTTTTCAAAAGCATCTAGTTACTTTTAAATTCTAAAAATCTGGCCTCTAGTGAATATTTGGGAACCAAGTTCTACACACAAATAACAACATGTGAAAAAGCACTAGGGTGCTGGATAGAGAGGCAAAATAACAGTTGACAAAGGCAATTCCCATTGACAGATCAAAGGAAACTGAAAAACACTAACCCAGGAAATCAGTCAGCCTTGAAGTCATATAATCCCAAAGAATAAACTTGTGTATTAAAAAAAAAAGAATAGTAGCACACTACAAATAGGAAGTGTTATACTAGAAACACTGGGAGATGTGATTGCTAAAGCTACTAGCAACTATTAATATTTTTAACGATTCTTTGCTAATATAAACTAAATAGCACAATGACATCCATCTGGAAAATGTTAGTGAAGATAAATGATGAAGTGCTAGGATTAATAAAAAGAACACTTTAAAAAGTAAATAATTTAGAGAGGAACAACATTTACAGTGGATTACAAAAAAGAAAAGAAAAGCCAGTCCAGTTCAGACATTCAGAACTGCAGTTCAGACAAATTTGTGAACTGCCATGAAGCTTTATGCAGACATAGAAACTGATAAGGGATTTTTTAAACATTAAAAAGATGTGTGATAATTATAATGTCTGGAGGAGGGATGCAGGTATGTAAAATATTCAGTGACTCAAGTTTTCTTTAGCAGCTGAGAACATTGTATCAGATAGGGAAGAACTGTCTTGTCTAGGCATTGGGATGCACTGAGTCTTTAAGAACGCAACCCTGGGAGGTGGGTGCTGAGATGAACTGAGGAGAGGGAAGGGGAGGACCCTTTGCCTCACACGCGCTGTTGTTTCAACCACTGCCAGTGGATCACCCTACCGGGTACCAGCACATGGGGTGGCCCACCCTGGGCATCCCCTGTCGTATGTTAAAGGAGGTGAGGGCAGCCTTACCTCCCGCTTTTCTTGCTTTCCTTGAGTGGGACCTGTAGGATGATGGTCCCCTTCAACCCTTGCCCTATGAAATTTGCCACTCCGGCCTGGCCCCACAAGCCACCTGAGCTGGCTGCATGATAACCAGCTGGTCCACTTCTGAATCACACCCAGGGAACATCTGTATACACTTGTGCTTCCGGGTATCCTTTTCCTCTCCCTCGTGTGCTGTCCTGACACTAAACGGATATACCTGTGGCCACCAGCACCAAGGACCCCTGGTGAACCAGCCTGTACTCCACTCTGGTTCCATGTCCCATTGGGGATATTAGCTGCAGCTGCTCCATGGAGCCATGTACCTGACATGGTTCACAAATTCCCCTAACAACACCTGTCCCTTTGTGGTGAGAGGGAGACCCTGGCACACATCTAAATAGGGTGTGTCAGTGTCAGCCCCTCTTCCAGCTCCTCCAGAACCTTCTACTGAGGTTCTGGCTCAGGGGTGGGCAAACTACAGCCCTTCAGACATTTTAATCCAGCCCTTCAGCTCCCGCTGGGGAGCAGGGTCGGAAGCTTACCCTGCTCCAGCACTTCAGCCGGGGAGCGGGGTCAGGGTCTTGCCCTGTTCTTCGTGTGCTGTGGCTCCATGCGGCTCCCAGAAGCAGCAGCATGTCCCCTCTCTGGCTCCTACACATAGGGGCAACCAGGGGGCTCTGCACACTGCCCCCGCCCCAGCCATGCAGCTCCCATTGGCCTGGAACTGCGGCCAATGAGAGCTGCAGGGGTGGCGGCTATGGACATGGCAGAGCACAGAGCCTGGAGCAGCATGGAGCTGTGCAGGGCACCAGGATATTTGGTGCCCCAAACTTCCTGGTGCTCTACTCAGCTGTCTACTTTGCGTATGGGTAAGGACAGCCCTGCCCGTAGCCCCACAGGGTTGCGGGCCCCCTTCATCAATATCCTCCATCACGCCAGGAGGAGGAAGCTGGACAGGGGTTTATCCAATCATGCCTCTGGGAGGGGTCCACTGACTCCCTAGGTGGTTTTGAGGAGCACTGGGCGCTACTGGGGACTCTCTAGTTGATGTCCCCCATGGGGATCCCTCATTTGCACCCTGTCATTTCACTCTCTCCCTCCTATTTGTTAATTTATTGTCCCCACGCCTGAAATCAATTGTAGCCTGAACTTAGCAGGTCCTCGCCGCCTGCCCCACTAGCTCCTGAGCCCTCTCCTGTCCCTGCCTCCGGCTGTCTGACCCCGTGCGGTGATCAGCTCTACTCCCCCGGTACAGACGTCCCTCTTCACCCCCAGAAGAGCAGAGCGCACCCCACCCCAAGGCAGGGCAGCGGATTCACCAGATGTTACTGAGCATGCTCAGTTCTCCCGCGCATGTTCAGGAACTTCCAGGCTGCCCATCGCGTTGGGTGGTGCAAAGTGACGTCACGCCGGCCGGGTGAGCGGCGGCGCGCGCAGCGGCTTCACTGGCTTCACTTCTGCGCGTGGGCGATCGCGGTGCTGAGACGTGTGCGGCCTCCTGGGCGACCCGGCGTCGAACCCCGTGGTTGTAGCTGCGAGGCAGGGTCTCCGCCCGGCGCCAAAATGGCGGCCCCCGGCTGGCGTGTCCGTCGCCGGCTCCGGAGCTGTGTTGTGGGCCGAGCCGTAAGCAGCCAGGCCCTGCCGGAAGGATCGCTGAGGTGACCAGTCCTCATATCCCGCTCCCCACCGCCGCCATGTGTTACACCATGTCCCCACCCATCCCCACTGCCCTGGGTTGCTTTTTCCCGGGCAGGAGCTCGTCTCCCCTGTCGCAGGCACGGGTTTCTCAGATCGGGGTGCGTCTGCCCCTTACCCCCCCCCCCACACACACACACTCATTCCCTCACAGTGCTTCTGCTCCCCCGTATACCCGCATTCCTTCACAGAGGGGGTACATATGCTCATTTTGTCACAGAGAGGGTACATCTTTGTCTCGTATGCCCCGGCACTCAGGGCATTTTTAAAGAATAAATACAAAGATAAAAGGAAGTGGCCACTGTGCCCATTTAATGTAGGCAGTACAAGTAGTTATTTATCCCTGTAGCGTGGGTGCCAAGCAGACGTGAAATAGAACAAACAGGTACTAAGGCAAATTGTTTTCCCTCAGGGTTTGGCAGAAAGGAAATCCCACCAGCCAGATACACGTGAAAATGCTTCTGCACAAAGTGCATGGATGTCAACATGTTGCTGTTGCAGCTTTTCCTGTGTCTGGCACTCATTTCCTCCAATAGGAACAATATTCCCTCCCAAAGAGCTGATCAGCAGATGTTTATATTGGTATATCCATCATCTGAACTTTTCTCTTACAGTTCTGTTTTCCCCTTAGTTAAGCCATCTCTTCAGATAACTGTATCATGTCATATCTGTGTCATACTCATCTTACATAGGTAGATGGAATTACATAACTGAAGAATAGTTGATGAACTTTCATGTGGATTACTGTTATTTCTTTGTGGTGTAATACATCTTGAGAACATCTCTGCTGGGAACTTGCTTTCTGTATTATCTTTCAGTCCTGGGATATAGTCTGAAAATCCTGAAGGCAGGACCAGGACCTATATATGGAAGTAAGCATTTAAAATTACAGGGGACACTATTTCACAAAATGTGGTATAAGATTATACACAAATTCCTATGATATTTTAACATTTTATTGTTTTGGAAAAAGTTGTCATAACTTGTTGCTCTTAGATGTTAACTACAAAGTAGATTGTCCTCCTTAGTATCACTTTATGGAGACTATTTTTTCTGAGTATATATTATGCCAGCTGTATTACTGAAAAAGTTTAATTATAATTTTTGTGGGTAGTTAAGCATGAAATTCTGTGTGTATATATGAGTTTATAAAAACAAGTTGATCCTCCAGAGACATGCTAAAAGGTTTTCAAAAGTTTAGCAGAAAAAGTTGTGCAGTTTTAGGCCTTGTAAAGGTTTTTACACGTTTAACAGTGGAACTACTCAGAATGTGTAAAGTTAAGCACATCTGCAACTCTTTGTAGGACCGGGGGGCCTTCACTGCATACTAGAATTTTAAAATATTTTACTGTTACTTTTATTTGCAAGTTACAATTACTCTAGGATAAGATTTTTTTTCCCTTTATTTTTGTTTATGGGAATGCACAGTTAATTTTCTTCAAAATGCCCAACTCTAATGCCAAATCTCATCGTGGCCACCCAGGTGGTCAGGAAGCTGGCAGACGTGAGCTGGTTTCCAGATCTTTACAGAGTGCTCAGCATTGTCTGGAAAATCAGGATTTTGGAACTGCATATGCCCACTATCTCCTGGTACTAAACCTAGCATCTGAGCTAAAAAATGATGTCAGGGTGAGTGCTTTTTGAATTATTTTAGACAGTCCAAACTCAATTATATTTTTTTCACTCTTAAGAACTTTCTAATGAACAGATGTTGCTTTTATTTTGTATGTAACTTATTTTGAAGAATGGACAGGAGAATTAAAGAGAAACATAGCGGTGTTATGGATGACCCCATAATTTGGTTAACGAGAGCTGTCTGTGCTTGAGGGATAGGATTTGATTCATTTAATCTTAAAAGCTGAGTGAATTTAGGATTTTGTAAAAATGAGGTTCTATTACAACTGGCTTGCACTGCGCAAACTTTCTACATGCAGCTCTGTAACATGTTACGCTGTGCGCTGATTAGTGGTAAGGGTAGCTGGACGACTAGGAAGAGACTACCTCACTGGAGAACCTAAGCGAGCCTCCCAGCATTATGTGCTGTTAAGGAAATAACTGTGCTCATGTTCATTTCAAGACTAATTTCATACTATCTCCTCTGAAGTTTCCAGTGTCTTCAATTCACCGCTTTTGATATGCATATTACTGATTTAGCAATGTTTGCGTCACTTTTCAGGAAACTTTCCAGTTTACCCTCTTCAAATGGGCTGAAGAGCTAGCTTCTCTTGCACGGATTCAAGATTTATTTAACTGCTATGAGCAGGCCCTGGAACTGTTTCCTAATGATGAAATAATATGTAATAGTATGGGGGAACATCTCTTCAGGTTGGTAGTAATCTATATTCAATTTTTTTTTTAGATGCACTATTTATTATTAGGTTTCAGAGGAGCAGCCAGCTTAGTCTGTATTCTCAAAAAGAAAAGGAGTACTTGTGGCACCTTACAGACAAACAAATTTATTTGAGCATAAGCTTTCGTGAGCTACAGATGAAGTGAGCTGTAGCTCACAAAAGCTTATGCTCGAATAAATTTGTTAGTCTCTAAGGTGCCACAAGTCCTCCTTTTCTATTTATTATTAATTAGTAATAAACATATAAGGATCTGATTCAGCTTTGCTGAATAGGGGTATCTTTGAGCCTGGGCACAATGTTAAGTATGTAATACTGAATTTCAAATCTGTTAAATCAATATAAATATATGTGCAGTAGCCACTGCTTAAACATACTATTCAATCCTAAGAAATGCATTTGGTCTTTAAAAATAATAATAAAAAAATACTGCCTTTTAAATGTCATTTACCAGCTCACGCAGTAGTTATTTAATAAAAAATTAGACCAGAATGTTTGAAAGCCAGTGTGAAGGCTGTAGTTTTGGGTAATTTAATTTTTGTAAGTGGTTATGTTCCACGTTTCTGTAGGTGTTATGAAGATCCTCTACCTCTACTCTGTTCTGTTCCTCCTAAAGATCCCACATTACAACCAGTTCAGATAAAAGAGGGCTGGTTCAGAATATGAATACCCTGTAAATTCCCTCTTCTTGATTGGTTTGAGCCTTAGTCTTTGTTTAACAATATAAGGCATTTCCCTTCGCTGTGCAGTCCCTAAAAGGTGCTGCACATGCTGCCCCCACAGTGCTTCAAGTTCCTGCCAGCGTGGTATGTTAGAATAGGACCTGGCCTTGAAACCTTAATTCCTAACTAGAAATCCAGATCACTTCTATTAGAGTGGTCCGCTTTGATTCTCTTTTTTCTAAATAAAGAGCAAAAAACCCCTTCTGACTATATTTTCCTTGCATTTTTTTTAAACTTTAAAAATGTTCAATTTTTAATTGTTCCCGGATTGAGAATTTCAGCCCAGAGCAATATTTTATGGTAATTATAATCTTCTTAAAATTGTGATCTAATGGAAACACTGGTAACTCAAGCTGTGACAATTTGATATGAGCTGTGATGTCATACATTACACCTGAATTGGGTAAAATCTTACTTTGCTTTGATTTTTGGAGTTTTGACATGTCTCCATTCTGGCTTGCATTTCTGATTCACCGTTGCTGTTTTTATCGTGCAAATAATCCTTATAAGACGCCAATTGTTTTACTGCGGCAAAGTCATGGATGAAATAGAGAGGTAGAAGTAGAGTACAATAAATGATACATTTTATGTATTTTTGCATTTTAAATCACATAAATCTTACTTTGTAAAGATAACTTCATCCTTTTTGACACAGAACTACCATATCACTGGTTAAGGAACTTAAGTTTATATCCTTAAAATGTAAAAACATAGGGACTTTGTGCAGTAGTGTTTCATAACTCAATTTTAGCCAAGTACATTGCTTGGTTTTCTAGTGAAAACATTATTTTATAAAGGAGCATATTTAGAGTAAAGGGATCTTTCTCTGAAACAGTCTTGTAAATGAAAAATTATTATTTTCAACCCTCTTAAATTATTTAGAGCTCACTTTTTTTTATCGTTTGTCCAAGGTGTACCTCTTTCTCATATATAAAGACATAGCCCTTAAAGCAAAATAGCTTTCAAATTGTGACTATAACAGTTATTAAAAACAACACTACTTAACAATTCAGTAATGAATGTCTAAAAATGTGATTTTTCCCCCCCTAATCTTCAGGTTTCAGATATCTGGCAACCAACTGCATACTTCCTGCTTATTATTTATTTGTCATTTTTACTATTAGAATGGGCTTTAGAGATGAAGCAGCTGGATATTTCCACAAAGCACTGAAGCTAAACCCTGACTTTGCTGATGCAAAGGAGAATTTTTACCGTGTTGCAAACTGGCTGGTAGAACGTTGGCACTTTATCATGCTTAATGACACCAACAGGAATCTGATTTACCAGAAAGCAATTCAGAAGGTGGTCCACTCTGGTTGCAGAACTGTTCTAGATATTGGAGCAGGAACAGGAATACTGAGGTTTGTCATAAAATGCATGTTTAATGTAAACTATATTAATATAAATATACTTTCTTTTTAGCAGTCATTGTCATGTACATTTAAATTATCTTCTGTAAAAAAACCTGAAAATTAATTTTCATATATTAAAACAAAGCTTAATGAAGGAAAGACATAACTAAAGTTGTTATTGTGAAGTGAGTACCTAGAACTGCTTCACTAATGGTATGTCTGGTATCCACATGCTAATTTAATATATGTTCATTCAGTGACAATGTTGAATTGGAAAACATACCTTGTAGAGATAAACTAAACAAATTGGGCTCCTGGAGTCTTAACAGAAAGATGGTTAGGGAGTGATTTGGTCACAGTACATAAGTACCTATGTGAGGAAGAAAAAGTTGATAATGGGCTCTTCTATGTAACAGATAAAGGTTTAGTAAGATTCAATGGCTGGAAGCTGAAGCTAGACAAATTCAAACTGGATGTAAGGTGCAAATTTTTAACAATGAGCATAATTAACCAATGAAACATCTTATCAAGGACTCTGGTGGATTCTCCATCACTCGCAATTTTTAAATCAAGACTGGATGTTTTTCCTAAAAGATATGCTCTAGTTCAAACAGGAATTAGTTCAGGGAAGTCCTGTGGCCTTATACATGAGGTCAGACTAGATGATCACAGTGGTCCCTCTGGTTTTATAGTGTATGAATTACTGCCTTCATGTCAGACATATTATCTTTGTAGTAGTTCTGGACAAACTATACTGCTGATAATACAGTGTATACTGGGAAAATCTGATATCCACCCAAGTGCTATAGTTTGTATTAGTACTGATATCAGGTACTAGTATTAAGAATATGAAATAAATGCTACAGTAAATGTAAATATACTTAAAACAAAATTCAGACTTTTCTTACCTTTAATAATTTCTAATTGAAATTTTGACAAGAATAAACTAATTCCTATGGTGATTTCTGTTATTTTGCAGTATGTTTGCCAAGAAGGCTGGAGCACCTTGTGTCTATGCCTGTGAGTTGTCGAAGACCATGTATGAACTTGCTTGTGATGTGGTAGCAGCAAATAATATGGAAGGAGAAATCAAACTTCTCCATATGAAGTCTCTTGATATAGAAATTCCAAAGCACATACCTGAAAGGTAGCTTAAAATAGCCTACTGTGATATCTTTTTAATTCAGTTTTGTTTATGCAAGTGGAGAAAAACTGCACAATGTAACATACTCACTAGAAAATAGAAACTAATTGTCTATTGAGATGGTATTTAAAAATTCTCACACAATTTGTCTGTTAGATTAATATTTCTCTGTCATAGAAGGCCGTATTTAACTATATCGCAAGTAATGTTTAACTGTTCATTAGAGTAAACTTCATTCATTCAAACCATTTACCTACCAGGTAAAGCATTTGGGACAGACAAACCTGAAAGGAGACAAAAAGAGGAAAAAAATAGAACAATAATACAGTCAGTTAGGTCAGTGTCTGGTTGTCAGTTAGGGGTTTTTTTCCTCCTGTTCTTGGACATTTTTTGGCAGTATCTTTTGTGTGTGTGCTGTCAGGACTGGTAAGTCTGGTTAGCTCTCTAGGTTCATTCATTTGCAACAATGTCAGACCATTATTTAATGACAGTAAGGTTCTTTACATCCTAAAGGTAACAGGAGAATAATTTTACATCATTATCTTTCAGATTAGTTCCAATATAGACATCTACAAACAGTAGGTGTTTCAAGTCCACAGTTCCAAGAAATTATTGTCCTAGAGATTTTACAAAAGCTTAACTACTTAGTCAAGGGGGAAAAAAGCTAATTCTAGATTCTGCAAAGTGCTACATCAATTGACTCTTCACCTCTTTGGATCACTTTCTAATGGCTTGATCCTAAAAATAAGTTTAGGGGGATAAAGCAAAAGGAAAAGATGGAACCAAGTCCAGTATAAATATGGGATGAATATCTATGATTTCGAAAGGTTCAGTTGTCTACTAAGTTTAAAATCTATCACATATTTTTTTTAGGTGCAGTGAGAAGATAAATTACCATACCAGGTTAAACCAAAGACTTCAGAGTAATTTGTGTTTTAAAAATTTAGCTTTGTATCTTCAAAATGATTATTCAGTTGGTGTTTCTCAAAATATATATAGTTCACTGCTAGAGTAATCTTAATGTGATTAATGGATTCCAAAGCCAGAAGGGACCACTGTGATCATCCAGTCTGACTTCCTGTATACCACAGCCCATAGAACTTCTCCAATATCATTCCTTTTGAACTAGAGAATATCTTTTAAAAAACCAACATACAATCTTGCTTTAAAGTTAGCAAGTGATTGAAAATCTACCACAACTCTTGGTAGGCTGTTCCAATTGTTAATTATCCTCACTGTTAAAAATTTAGGCCTTATTTCCAATTGGAATTTGTCTAGCTTTAGATTCTAGCCATTGGATTGCCATTGGACACAATGGCAATTGGTGGACTTGCATCCTAGAAGTTTGACATCTTTGTTTCTTTTGAGAGACTTTTATACTTAAGAAAACTTTCAAGTTTACCATGCTTAAATACAAATTGTTTTTTTCACATGTTTAATAACTTTTTAGCCATATTTTCTAATTACCAAATATGTTTACATGTGTAATTTGCTCCAGTACATCTTGTACTTAATTCTGCAATTAATTATAATGTCAAGTTTGGAAGATCTCGCTGATTTCTGTGGTAGGTCTGAGATGCCATAAACAAAGGATTTTAACTTCACTACTCAAAGGAAATCTGTTGTATTCAGGAGTGAGACAAGATTTAAGGGTATCCGCACATGAGGTGGACATTTCTTACTTGGTGGCCTCTAGGAGGTTGGTGGGGAATTGCCTTTGTGCAGATCCTCCACCCCGACGTTGGAGAAGTTTAAGCAGCACAGAGGGCTGCTTTAGACACTGGGCTGAAGTAATTATCTGCAGGGCCATGTGACAACTGCTCCAAGTGGATTCTAGTTCTGACACATTTCTCCCACCCCCCATTCCATTGTGAGGAAGTGCGAAGCACCTCACACTGGTTGCTGACAGCTGGCACAATGATTTCATCCTTAGCAAGTTCAGGTTCTCTGGTAGCTTTCAGAAAAGGACATCAGCATCTTTTTGTTCAGTTTATAAGATTTCTAATTTTGGTAATTTTATCTTGTTTTTATTCACACTTAAATGTGTTCATGTAGCATCAGTATGTTTTCAGCTTTATTTTCTGTTTTTGCTTTGAAAGGTGTATTTATTTATTTTCTTTAAAATTGTCCTCTCATCTTTATTGCTAGTACGTCCTTTTGTACAGTGGTTATGGGTTAAATAATAGTGTCACTTTAACCAAATTATAATGTATTTAAAAAGCTTTGTTGATTAGGCTACTGAGTCCACTCAGCATCCCAGAAAGCACAATGTAACTGTTGCAGTTGGCAAACCACAGTTTGACTTAGCATTTTAGTTTTCAGCACATCTGGTTAAGAGTTGTTTTCATATGGGATGCTTCTGGGGAGCTGTAAGTTTAAACCTCAGAAATCTATTAAAGGGTTGCTGGTATAGACTCAGCACTATTTTAGTGATGCTTATTCGTCATTTCAGCCCGCTGCTGTTGGTAGTATTGAGATTTAAGATTAATCCAAGATTAATATAGGTGCCTTAGTTTTTAGTCTCAAATTACTAATTTAAAGGTAATATGTGCCCACTAATCTCTTTCATGTCCTGCTTAGAAGTTGTATTTAAAGTATAACTATAAAATTGCACTGTTTGCATGCTTTAACTTAATACATAACAAGCTGATGATAGAGCAAAAATTTTATGGAATCTCCTTCAAGTGCTAATCACTGTTGAATTTATTTTACATGTAAGCTTGTGTTCTGGGATATGGTCTGCCATATTTCAAGTCTGTTTGAAAGGTCCTATTTATTTTTATGTTTGTCTTGGGTTCTTCCCATACCTAATGATTCCTAAGCATTGTCTGGAAAGTTTCATGGAAAATTGTTGCTCATTGTTTATGCTCATTGTTTGAATAACTTGTTATAACAACAACTTAAAATATGTCCCTCTGCTGGATGTGTGTTGCTTTTCATTTACATGAATTAATACTTTAGTAGCACAGCTTTTTATCAACATTTGCTGCCTCTAGATTCAGTTTACATTTGTATTTTATTTTAAAAGGTGTGACTTCTAGCAGAAATTTGTAATGCCCATTACCATCTCATAACTGTAACTACCTTTTCTTAAAAACAATTTTTCATAGGGTTTCCCTGGTTGTCACAGAAACGGTAGATGCAGGTTTGTTTGGAGAAGGGATTGTGGAGAGTTTGATACATGCTTGGGAGCATTTGCTTTTACAACCAAAGGTAGGTGATATATTCAGATACTTATAAATCAGAACCACATTGAAACATACATACATAACACATCCTTATTATGAATGTTCCACTCTTTCTAATGCTTAAACAATTGATGCTTTATTTCTAAATTTGAGTTACATTAGTGCTTGTGAAAGTGAGATTTGACAGCCTTGTTGGCAGAAGTACTGTATCGTGCCTGTTATATGTGAGTAGACAAGCTGTGACAATGCGCCTTGTGAATGACACTGCCTTATCAATGTTTTTCAACACTAACCTGGCAGGAGCAGTGTAGGGAGGGTAATTCAGTCTTTATGGCTCTTCAGTCCTTGACCTCTGTGTCTATCAGTGATGCCGATTATGATGACTTTTGTGTTGTGGACACTTGTCTATTGCAAACCAGACTGAAATCTATTAATTTAATATTAAGACACAAAACAGCTGTCAGAAGGCCATGCAGTCAGTAGAGATCTAGGCTGGATTTGAAACAGCAGCCTAGAAAGAAAAGGCTTCTAGTCTCTAAGGTGCCACTGGTACTCCTTTTCTTTTTGCAAATACAGACTAACACGGCTGCTACTCTGAAACCTGTTCACTGTGACTGAAACCAAAATCACCTCGTATGCAATTAATAGAAACTAGTATGCATCTGCTTCTAACACTAGAGGGCATTCTGTTACCAATCTGTTAAATCTTCCATTTCACCCTTATTTTATATTTAATAATTCCTTGGTGATTAATTTGAAAAGCTGGAAGATGCCACTGCATCTTTTTTGGGGGATGGGGGTGTAGGAAGGGGGAAGTTGCTAGATGCATCTTGCCTTTAAGACTATGTAAATGTAACTCCTCCCTCCCCCCAAAAAAAACAAAAACACCTCTACTTTTTATTATCTGTGTCTGTTAAACTTCTGTTTAGGTCTCATGAAATAAAGGGATGCAGTTTGTGAAAAGTTACAGGATCTAGTTCCTTCTTTCACGTTTTCCTCCCAAACAAAAAGAAGATTACCTTAAAATCACCATCTAGGTGAAGGGTTTTTTATCTGCTGTATTAGACTGAAATTGATGACCTCTAGTATTATAAAACAGGAATAGTTTGATCTATTCATTATGCATGTTTTTAGCTAACTTGTATTCCTTCAAGTTAGGATCAAATACAGGGTTTAAAATTACACAAGAAAATACAATGAACTGTCACACACAACTGGTGTGTAAATAATTGAAAGCTTATTTGTAGCTCCATGAGAGGGTAGTTTTAGATGTACTGAAACATAAGAATTATTTATGAGGTTACTTCTTTCGATTCACCCTCTTTCTGCCATGTCTATGTTTTCATTTGGTGAGTTTATATTTATTGATCAGCAGCTTGTTTATGTTGAGACAGTGAAGAGAGAAAAAAGACAAGAGAAAGCCAACCTATATCTAAAATACAAAGACTTGATTAGAACAAGATAAGTAAGTGAGGCCAAACAGCAAAAATTAAGATGTTTGTATGCCAAGGCGAGGAGTCTAGGTAACAAAATGGAGGAACTAGAGCTACTGGTGCAGGAAGTGAAACCAGATATTATAGGGATAAGAGAAACATGGTGGAATAGTAGTCATGTATGGACTACAGGTATTGAAGGGTATGGGCTATTTAGGAAAGACCAAAATAAAGGTAAAGGTGGTAGAGTAGCATTGTATATCAATGATGAGGTAGAATGTAAAAAAATAAGAAGCGATGGAATGGATAAGACAGAGTCCATCTGGGCAAAAATTACATTGGGGAAGAAAACTATTAGAGCCTCCCCTGCGATAGTGCTTGGGGTGTGCTATAGACCGCCGGGATCTAATTTGGATATGGATAGAGCCCATTTTAATGTTTTTAATAAAGTAAATACTAATGGAAACTGTGTGATCATGGGAGACTTTAACTTCCCAGATACAGACTGGAGGACAAGTGCTAGTAATAATAAGAGGGCTCAGATTTTCCTAGATGTGATAGCTGATGGATTCCTTCATCAAGCAGTTGCTGAACCGACTAGAGGGGATGCCATTTTAGATTTGGTTTTGTTGAGTAGTGAGGACCTCACAGAAGAAATGGTTGTAGGGGATAATCTTGGCTCAAGTGATCATGAGCTAATTCAGTTCAAACTGAACAGAAGGATTAACAAAAATCTGCAACTAGGGTTTTTAATTTCAAAAGGGCTGACTTTCAAAAATTAAGGAAATTAGTTAGGGAAGTGGATTGGACTGAAGAATTTATGGATCTAAAAGTAGAGGAGGCCTGGGATTATTTTAAAACAAAGCTGCAGAAGCTATCGGAAGCCTGCATCCCAAGAAAGGGGAAAAAATTCATAGGCAGGAGTTGTAGACCAAGCTGGATGAGCAAGCATCGCAGAGAGGCGATTAAGAAAAAGCAGAAAGCATACAGGAAGTGGAAGAAGGGAGGGATCAGCAAGGAAAGCTACCTTATTGAGGTCAGAACATGTAGGGATAAAGTGAGACAGGCTAAAAGTCAAGTAGAGTTGGACCTTGCAAAGGGAATTAAAAGCAATAGTAAAAGGTTCTATAGCCATATAAATAAGAAGAAAACAAAGAAAGAAAGAAGTGGGACCGCTAAACACTGAGGATGGAGTGGAGGTCAAGGATAATCTAGGCATGGCCCGATATCTAAACAAATACTTTGCCTCAGTCTTTAATAAGACTAAAGAGGATCTTAGGGATAATGGTAGCATGACAAATGGGAATGAGGATATGGAGGTAGATATTACATATCTGAGGTAGAAGCGAAACTCAAACAGCTTAATGAGACTAAATCGGGGGGCCCAGATAATCTTCATCCAAGAATATTAAAGGAATTGGCACATGAAATTGCAAGCCCATTAGCAAGAATTTTTAATGAATCTGTAAACTCAGGGGTTGTACCGTATGATTGGAGAATTGCTAACATAGTTCCTACTTTTAAGAAAGGGAAAAAAAGTGATCCGGTTAACTATAGGCCTGTTAGTTTGGCATCTGTAGTATGCAAGATCTTGGAAAAATTTTGAAGGAGAAGGTAGTTAAGGACATTGAGGTAAATGGTAAATGGGACAAAATACAACATGGTTTTACAAAAGGTAGATCGTGCCAAACCAACCTGATCTCCTTCTTTGAGAAAGTAACAGATTTTTTAGACAAAGGAAACGCATTGGATCTTATTTAGCTAGATTTCAGTAAGGCGTTTGATACCATGCCACATGGGGAATTATTAGTTAAATTGGATAAGATGGGGATCAATAGGAAAATTGAAAGTTGGATAAGAAATTGGTTAAAGCTGAGACTACAACGGGTCCTACTGAAAGGTGAACTGTCAGGCTGGAGGGAGGTTACCAGTGGAGTTCCTCAAGGATCGGTTTTGGGACCAATCTTATTTAATCTTTTTATTACTGACCTTGGCACAAAAAGTGGGAGTGTGCTAATAAAGTTTGCGGATGATACAAAGCTGGGAGGTATTGCCAATTTAGAGAAGGACAGGGATATCCTACAGGAGGATCTGGATGACCTTGTAAACTGGACTAATAGTAATAGGATGAAATTTAATAGTGAGAAGTGTAAGGTCATGCATTTAGGGATTAATAACAGGAATTTTAGTTATAAACTAGGGACGCATCAATTAGAAGTAACGGAGGAGGAGAAGGACCTTGGAGTATTGGTTGATCATAGGATGACTATGAGCTGCCAATGTGATATGGCCGTGAAAAAAGCTAATGCGGTCTTGGGATGCATCAGGAGAGGTATTTCCAGTAGGGATAAGGAGGTTTTAGTACCGTTATACAAGGCACTGGTGAGACCTCACCTGGAATACTGTGTGCAGTTCTGGTCTCCTGTGTTTAAGAAGGATGAATTCAAACTGGAACAGGTACAGAGAAGGGCTACTAGGATGATCTGAAGAATGGAAAACTTGTCCTGTGAAAGGAGACTCAAGGAGCTTGGCTTGTTTAGCGTAACCAAAAGAAGGATGAGGGGAGATATGATTGCTCTCTATAAATATATCAGAGGGATAAATACCGGAGAGGGAGAGGAATTATTTAAGCTCAGTACCAATGTGGACACAAGAACAAATGGATATAAACTGGCCATCAGGAAGTTTAGACTTGAAATTAGACGAAGTTTCTAACCATCAGAGGAGTGAAGTTTTGGAATAGCCTTCCAAGGGAAGCAGTGGGGCAAAAGACCTATCTGGCTTCAAGATTAAACTCGATAAGTTTATGGAGGAGATGGTATGATGGGATAACATGGTTTTGGTAATTAAATATTCATGGTAAATAGGCCCAATGGCCTGTGATGGGATATTAGATGGGTTGGGATCTGAGTTACCCAGGAAAGAATTTTCTATAGTGTCTGGCTGGTGAATCTTGCCCATATGCTCAGGGTTTAGCTGATCGCCATATTTGGGGTCAGGAAGGAATTTTCCTCCAGGGCAGATTGGAAGAGGCCCTGGAGGTTTTTTGCCTTCCTCTGTAGCATGGGGCACGGGTCACTTGCTGGAGGATTCTCTGCATCTTGAAGTCTTTAGACCACGATTTGAGGACTTCAGTAGCTCAGACATAGGTGAGAGGTTTTTCGCAGGAGTGGTGGGTGAAATTCTATGGCCTGCATTGTGCAGGTCAGACTAGATGATCATAATGGTCCCTTCTGACCTAAATATCTCTGAATCTAAGTATGGAAAAGAAATATTTGAGAAAAAGTATGCAGTTGATACAAGAGAAACAACCAATGCTGAAAGATAGGTGGTAAAAGTAAAGTATTTTTAAAATATATATTGAAGCTATCAAATTAATTACTGGGAAGTAGCAAAATAAACAGGGGATAGACTGATAAAATCACATTGGAGAGCATGACTTATTAGAAACTATCAGAATTCATATATAATACAGATTGGCATTATTGAGAAATAAGGAGTTATGGAAAAATATTACTTTACATTTAAGCCTGGAAATGAAAATGGGATATTCGTCAGGCAGATACATTAGGAAAAAACAAAAAATACTACCTCCTAGTGAGTGACCCTTTAATCAATTTGTTGTGATCAAAGTGTATGCAAAGAAAAGGTCACTGTGGATGCAACAATATCAAAAGAGCATTTGAAAGGCTTTGGGAAATGAAAAAATTGGGAAAATAACTACAACTTCTAGACTTTTCATCCTTCAGTGTATATATAGTATACAATTGGCTGTTTTTTCAAGAAAAAGGAATAATTTAATTCACTACATTTGCACAAAAAATTGAATTGACTGCAATTACAAAAATAAATTAAAAACGTCATTAGTCTTGAGAATATTTATTAAAGTTTTTGAGATAATAATGAATGACAGAGAAATAAAAAACTTAAACTCAGCAGTACCAGTAGAAATAGGTCTTCATCTCATTGTGCCATCTTATTTATTTACATTTTCACAGCCTAAAAATCAAGACATTGGTACAGAAGACTATGGTCAAGTTATTCCTGCAGGTGCTATTGTATTTGGGATGGCAGTGGAATGCAAAGAGATACGCAGACATCACAGGTGTGTTTATACTTTGACAGGATTTGGAGCTCACATTTGACCGATTTAGGAAAAGAAATGTGATCAATTTAAACAAAAAGGAAATATTTTTTATTTTCCATTCACTTAACACAAATATTTGTATGTATTATTGTGTGTGTAGTTAAATGAGACCACCAACTTAAGCAGCTGTGCAAAGTATGAACAGAATTTCTGTATGGTTGAGTGACTGAGCTGGTACTGATTAACTTTTAGGTCTGTATTTAACTCCTGAAAGAGATGTATGTTTAATATTCCAGGAACAGCTACCAACAATGTCTGTTATCACACTACGCACTCAATATGTTCAGTGTTCAAGGGGAAGGACTGTGTATAAGCTTTGATTCATCTGATTTAGGCTTGTTTGTGGTTTTCTTCCTCCCTGCTCCCCCCCTAGGGTGGGAGTACAAGAAGTTGCCTGTGTGCATTTGGCAGAAACAGTGGAGTTCTGTAGTCCAACACGTGCTTCTGTGAACTCAGAGGAAACTATTGAACCTTACACCACAGAAAAACTCAGTAGAGTTCCTGGGGGTTATATGCCACTGACAGAACCCTTTCAGGCCATGACAGTGGATTTCAACAATCTGGAGGTAATGATTTCTTCACTATCTTACATCCTAAAAACAAACAAACAGAAAACCTGTAGAGCAGTTGATGCAGAGCCAAAAATCTGGCTTGTCTCTAAGGGTATTTATTCATTTCCGTTAGGTTGGGTGATAGTTATCTGAGTATGAGCACCCAGATTAGCCTGTGCTGGGTGTGAATAGCCACTCTGCAAAGCCGTACCTGAGTTAGTGTGCTCACTGGGGCTGCACTCACCCACGTGCATCATTAGGACTTCTGGGGGTATATCTCATGGTTCCTTGTGCTGCAGTGAATTATAGAAGAACTTGTCTGTCCTTCTAGGAGGGAATTGTAGGAAAGGTGTTGGAGGACTGTCCGCACTCAAGTGATTTAGCTGCATTCTCACTGCAAAGTGAACAGGTTACCAGTCTGAGTGAAAGTGGCACCTGAGCTCTTGGCTGTAGCCCCAGTTAGGCCAGCTGGTCTGGGTTGAAAGCACCAGTAAACTTGGGTGAGGGGGTTTTATGTGTGAACAGAAGTAGACACGGATAATATCCAAGAAATATCCTGAGGTAACTCTGCGGTAAAGACACCCTAAGTAAATTTATTAAATGTGGTATTACATGTTTGTCCATATGCCCTTGACCTACTGGCTCATTTTTACCACTAGAATTGCAATATATAAATGAGTTGTAACTGATCAGATTTCAAGTAAAATTATAGGAGTGTATTTGAATTGTTGAGGGTGACACAGGAAAGAGTATTTTATATTTAAAGTCAAAATATTACCACTTAACAATGAGCTGCTAATAGATGGTTGCAATGGAGAATGGGATAAGTCACCATTCAAACAACTCATGATTTATTTCCCCTATGGAAACCATCTTGTACATCTATATTTTGACAATGTAAATAGGTTTATTTTTGTGTATGTGTAACGCCCACAGACCCTGGTCGTCAGTGGGCAGGATGGAATTGGGGACCTCTGGAGCTTAGTGCATGAGCCTCTACCGCATGAGCTAAAAGCCAACGGGCTCTTAGCTAATGCTGTAGAGCAGACTCATTTTTTTTCTCTCTCTCTCTCTCTCTCTGTGGTCTCGGTGCCACTAGAGGGGGCAGAACACTACACCCAGAAGGTGTGTGGGTTACATATGCACCAAATAGAGCTGAGTACGTCTCTGAGCCAGTGATAGCCATGCAGACTGAAAGGGCGATACATTTTGATGCTGGTGCATATGTGTTTTTGGCTTGTTGACCCATGGAGAGGAGTTTGCACCAAAGTGGTGAGCCAAAGCTGAAAATAAATTGTTATATAGATAAAATCATTCTTGGCTACTGATTTGGTTGGGAATTGCTATGTTCTGTATCGGTAACTTTCCCTGTTCACCTTACCTGACATCTAAGGTCAACGAATGAAGTAAAGCAAAGCACTTGAATATATTACAGGGAACTATGCTGCAACAATCTCTAATGTCTTTTCCAGCTCTGGCTTCTCTGATAAACGATTAGTGTCTTGTCAAATGCTTAATCTTGTACATGTTGTTCTCAACTTGTGCCAATATATATGTTTTTAATCTTACAGAATACATTTGATAAGATCCTAGAAATAATGTGAAACGCTCTAAACATTTTATTACCTAGATCAGTGTTTCCCAAACTTGGGACGCTGCTTGTGCAGGGAAAGCCCCTGGTGGGCCTGACCGGTTTGTTTACCTGCCGCGTCCGCAGGTTCGGCCGATTGCGGCTCCCACTGGCCGCAATTCGCTATGCCCGGCCAATGGGGGCTGCGGGAAGTGGCGCAGGCCGAGGGACGTACTGTCCGCTGCTTCCCGAAGCCCCCATTGGCCTGGAGCAACGAACCGCAGCCAGTGGGAGCTGTGATTGGCCGAACCTGCGGACGTGGCAGGTAAACAAACCGGCTGGGCCTGCCAGGGGCTTTCCCTGAACAAGCGGCGGAACAAGTTTGGGAAACACTGACCTAGATCTTCAAATAAAGCAGATTCCAGCCTTACTGTGTGAAGAGGTATAAATACAATACACAGTAGGTGAAAACAAATTTATTCATTTTTATTTGTTTGGAACAAGTGAATACTCATGACTGTGCAGCTTTTTGCCACCAGCAATCTGTTGGCAATGGAATTACCTCTCCATACACTGGCAACTCACTCGTTTTTTTCTCCTCTCATGCCCACTGTTGGTTCTCAAATAGTGTCATTCAAACATATTCCCTTTTAAAAAAAAACAACAACATAAAACTGTTGACACACTAACAGTTGGGAGCAGGGGTTACATATCAAAGTACAAAATTCAGAAATTCAATTAACTGCTTCTGGGGTTAATTCTAAAAACAAGCTCTAAATTTACGTTCCCAACAGTAAAAAGGAGTCTGACATACATTCCATTCTCAACATTAGTCAGCCATCATTCTTGGGGAAGAGGTACTCAAGTTTTATTTCTCTATTTGCTATCATGGTCAGGAACTGAAAAGCCTGGCAACCAGGAAGCCTTGCAAGTTCAGCGTACCTGTCACTCAAGGAGGTATACTGGATGCTATTGTGGTCTGGTTTGTACTACAACTTGATGATGAGCACAGTCTATCTACAAGTCCCAGTGAGGAAACTTGCTGGGAACAAGCAGTCTACCCTGTGCAGGGCCTTCCTGGTATGTGGATTTTCCATGGCAATACTATTAACTTTTTTATATTTTGTTTATTTGATAGTAACTAGTCTTAAAAGGATGCTATCAATTTGCCTCAGAGATAGGGGAACATATTAGGGAAAGAGGACAATGCATCACTAACCATAGCAGCATGTTTCTCTTCCTCAGTCTCCCTGAGTGTTCCTCGCAATCCTTACTTCGTTATTAACTTAGTTAGCCTTTCCCCACCCATCACTGTCCCTCTTCTCTCCCTCTTATGCTATATCAGTAGTTTCCTCATAGTAGATGGAAAATGGCTCTAGTGTAGGTTTTGCTTCCTAAAACCACAGATTAGGCATTTGTATGAACACTCCCTTATAATTTCTGAAAGTTACTAATGTACCTTTTTGTACTTTTTTGATAAGATTATTCTGTGAAACCTGGAGACACTGTGATGATGGAAGTATGCTGCCAAGATTGCTACTTAAGGATCCAGAAGATTTCTGTTTTAACTTCAGAGTATGGGATGGACATTGAAAGGGAGAACACACTGGCTTTGGGCAATGAGGCTGAACTATGTAGTGCTCTGGCTAGTCTTCAAACTACTAGCACACAGGATGGCATGGGGCAGGAGTGCATGCTGGAATCCACTGAAATTGCACTTCTGAACAATGTGCCATACCATGAATGCTTTAATGCTGCCATTGGCAAAGTGTTGTCATCCTTGATCCCAACGAGAGAATCTCTGTCAATGGATGTTGATGGTCACGATAGAGAGATGAACTTTGAAAAGAGTCAAAACAAGAACTCCTCATATACAACTCATGACCCTTTGTATGTATTAGATGTGTCCGAGGGCTTTTCGATTCTGCCAATAATTGCTGGCAAACTTGGACCAGTTAAAGCTTACAGTTCTGTTGAAAAAGAGCAGCATCAAATAGCCCTTAACATAATTTCAGAAGCCAACCATTTCCCTAAAGAAACATTAGAGTTTTGGCTCAGCCACTTGGAGGATGAGAGTGTGGTGTTACAGAGACCCAAATCAGACAAACTGTGGAGTATTATAATTCTGGATGTCATAGAGACTTCAGGTTTAATCCAGCAGGAGGTGATGGAAAAGGCAGCAATATCCAGGTACTGTATGACATTTATAAATCTTCTCAAGGTGAGAGAGAACCTCCCCAGTAATTCCAAGCTTCAGCCAGTCTGACTGAAGCTTGGAAGTATTTTGGTCAAAGACAATCGGTTAAATTATTCCATTTTTATAGAAATTTATCACTGTGATTTAAAAAAAAAAGGGGGGGAATCTTATGCTTAGCATACCAGAAATCTAAACAACAATTGTCCTGATGCTGTTATCAGCAGCATGAAATTTTAAGAGATCTGAGTGATAGAACAAGGTCAGAATCTTGTACATTTCAAGCTGCTGTGGAACAGACTGAAATTCTTATGAGACAGATACATGTGAGCTAGAACAGAGACAGAGAAAAAAAGGGATAGTGAACAGACGAAAAGGTAACACAAAGCTAGAGAGAAATGAAGAAAATACAAGACAAAATAATAGAAAATAGCAAGAAGAGCAAAAACAGTGGGAGGAATATTAGAGAAAGAAAGGATGAATTTTCAGTTTTAGAGGGCTTTTGTTGGGGTGGTGCGGGGTGTGTGTGCATGTGTAACATTTTCATCTATTCATCCAGACTTTTAGTGAGGTCAGGATAATAATATCAAGGGGGCGTGATTTTGCTGTATCAGCCCTTTTGGGGAAGTTGGTTCTGATTGTGTCATATGTACATTCACATCAGTTGTCAGAGACTGTGAAGATGTGGCTAAGGAAGTAAGTCTCTCTCTTTTTGCCATTTGTTGTCCCTGCTAGTGCCTTTGTAAAGAGACGTCTGCTAGAAAACAAGGAGAACACAAAGTCAATGCAGAATTAAATGCCTACTTGCTGCTGCTCTTGACAGCTCAGCAATCTGTGTCAGGGAACTGAAGAAGCCTCTGAGTCTAGCACAAGAATACTGTTAACTTTGTTTCTTATGTGTATTGAGAATGATTTTGTTAAATATTTAAAACACTGCTGGCATCCCACATGTGGGTGATTTAATATAATTAGCACTATCCTGGGCACATCATGGATTAACTGAATTCCTGCCATTTTCATTCTGCACAAGGGATTGACTCTCAAGCAGGATTTCCTGAACAGTGCCCTAGTGATCTCTTTCCCAGCTTCTGTTGCCATTTTTTCACAATCCTTCAGTATTGTCTCAGGAGTCACAGTGTTGTAAATAAACCAGACCTTGTATTTGAAGCCTTAATAGCCTATAACACCATCTTACTGAAATAACTACATTCTACATAAGAATGGCCATGCCAGGTAAGAACAGTGATCCATCTAATTTAGTATCCTGACTTCGACAGTGGCTGGTGCCAGATGTTTCAGAGAGAATGAGTAGAACAGAGCAATTATCATATGATCTGGTCATCCAATTCCAGCTTCTGGCAGGGTACTGGCCTGGAAGGGTAGGGCTTGGACTGACATAGAATGGCCTGTCTCCAGTGCTCTTCCACCTGACCTGTCACTGTTCTTCACTGGGTATTTAATATTTTGAGTTCCCCGAGTCAAAGATAAAATGTCAACCAGCCTTCAAAGAAAATGAATCCTGGTATAATACAATGTGGAATTTGACAAGGTATTTTATATTAGGAGTGATCTGAAAAGCTGTTAGGCCCCAATTTGAGGAAGCGTTTGAACACTTCTGACTTCATTGGAACTTAAGTACCCATTCTGAATCAAGACCTTAATGCAGTCAGTTTATTTCAGGGATGGGCAAACTATGGCCCGCGGGCCGTTTTAAGCCGGCCTGCGAGCTCTCGCTGGGGTGCCGGGTCAGGGGCTGCACCACGCGTCTCAGCCTCGCTCTGGCGCTCAAGCCGGGGCACCGGGTCGGGGACTGCACCATGCGTCTTGGCCCTGCTCTGGCTCTGCAGCCAGGGTGCCGGGTCAGGGGCCGCACCATGCGGCTCCTGGAAGCCGTGGCATGGCCCCGCTCCGAGGGTCACGGGCCACTCCGTGCCTAGGAGCCAGAGAAGGGATAAGCCACTGCTTCCGGGTGTTGCTTGAGGTAAGCGCTGTGCGGAGGCTGTACCCCTGAGCCTCTCCCCACACACCAACCCTGATCCCCCTCCTGCTCTCCAAACCTCTTGATCCCAGCACGGAGCACCCTCCTGCACCCCAAACCTCTCATCCGCAGCCCCACCCCAGCTCACACACCCCCAGCCCTGATCCCCCTCCGAACCCCTCGGTCCCAGCCCAAAGACCCTCCTACACCCTAAATGCCTCATCCCCACCCCCACCCCCACCCAGAGCTCCTGCACCCCAAGCCCAATTTTGTGAGCATTCATGGCCCACCATACAATTTCTATTCCTCAATGTGGCCCTCAGACCAAAAAGTTTGCCCACCCCTGATTTAGTTTCTTACTAGCAGGAGAACACATTTTGGCAATAAACATCTCTATCTCTCTTTATAGGTGTTTGCTTCACTCTGGAGGAAAGATATTCCCACAATACGTGGTGATGTATGGGATGCTCGTAGAATCACAATCTTTAGTACTTGAAAGTGCAGTTCAAGGGACTGAACCCACTCTTGGGTTTAATATAGCACCTTTTATCAACCAGTTCAAGGTAGGAAGTTAGCAACATGCTTCAATATCAAGCATAGCTCTCAAAACCCATAAATGCCCAACTGAGGGCCATAACCTCAATATAAGGAATTTAAGAAAAAGCAGTGCTGGAAGTATTAATGATGTTGGATTAATTTCTTCAATATATTTTATAACTTAAATTCTGTGCATAGATACTGATGTAAATTTACTATAATAGAAGTCAAGACACATGCTTCAGGTAGGACAGAAGTGATTTGTGATCTGATATGGAGAGCAGTAAAAGCGGCTGCTACTCTGAAACCAGTAAAAGTTATGACTTCCAACACTTCAGTGTTCAAAAAAACAGCTTTGGTAGGAGACTGTTTTCTTATGCAACTTGTGTCACAAGGGCCAGATTTTAAAAAGGATTAGAAGTGATAGTTATTTTAACAGTTCAGTTCCTTTTGGAAGCAATGCAGTAATTCACAAATTGAAAGTTGCTGTTGTATAATTGTTAAGCCTGAAAGCCTGGTATATTCCTCCTTAGGTGCCTGTTTGTGTATTTTTGGATCTTGCCACATTACCATGTGTGCCCTTAAGCAAGCCAGCAGAGCTGCTAAGACTAGATCTCATGAATCCCTATTTGAACAGCTCCAATAGAGAAGTAAAGGTAAGTTGAACGGGCACAATTTTTTTTCAATTCCTCATTACCATGGTTGAAAAATTCAGTACAAAAGCTATTTCAATGCAAGCCAATTTGAAGTAGATTTGAACAGGTTTGAACCACTGTATTTGATTTTTTTGGTGATCTAGCCACTGCCATAATACAAATAAAATCAGTGAAAAATTAGAGTTCTACTTCCTTACAGAACCTCTTTTCATTTTTAGGTGCAAGTTTGTAAGTCTGGCCAAGTCACTGCCATTCCATTTTGGTATCATATACATCTAGATGAAGATATTTATTTGGATACGTCAAGTGATTCCTCCCACTGGAAACAAGCTGCAGTTGTTCTTGACAAACCGATCCAAGTTCAGCTTGGAGATGAACTTGTGCTCAACGTTCAGCACTATAAAAGCAATGTCAGCATCACAGTAAAGCAGTGAAGAGTAGTCACTTGGAAACTGATTGATATGTTCAAATCAAAGAAAATTATCTATGCACATTAGCAGAATGGCTCAGCATTTAAGGTGTTTAATAGAAGAGCATAAAATCTAGGTTTTATGTTTTGGCCCAAGAGGGTTTTTTTAAATTGATTTAATTAAAAAAAAAAAAAAAAAAGAGGACCTACTGATGAACTACAAGCCATTATGCAACGACATTTTGAACTGTTATAGTGAAGTTATGTCTTCCTCAGCAGCAGGAAGCTTCATTGTTAACTGAATTGATTATTTCTCCAATTTTCCTTTGTACAAGCTGCAAAGGAAGCTGTAATTTTTGTTGCAGAGATGCTCACAATTTTTTGTTTTTGTGTAAGGTGCTCAGATACCTTAGCAGTAAGCACTGTATAAATATCTACATACATAGAATGCAATATTGTGACACAATTAGATCCTCCCCTCAATCCCACACCTAGTTTGTGGCAACTATTTTAAGTTGCATAAAGCTGTATTAAGGAGGCAGTTTTAAAATAAACTCGTGAATGCCCTACATGGTTATGTTCCCTTCTCTTAAACTCTCCCCCCCCCCCCCCCCACACCCCTCCAGTTGTAGATCTTACTATGTATACATTTATTTCTCACTGCCTCCAGGCCCCCTGGGTTTTGTCCTCCTGAGTCTGCACTACCCCTACAATTGCAGCAGCACAAGTTTATTCACAGTTGAACTTACTCTTAAGAAACACTTGTCAAAGTCATGAAGCTGTTGTGCAGGGTAGAAGGATAGTCATGTGGTTAAGAAACCAAGACTCAGGAAGTTTAGATGAACCAGGAACTGTACTATTGTGAACTTTGAGTCACTTATTCTGTCTCACTTTACCCATCTGGAAAATGGGGATACTAGTTCCCTACCTACCAAGTTCATCAAGATTGTTAAGTGTTCAATATACTCAGATTCTGTGGTGGTGGGTGCTCTTGTATGAGGTTATTTTGCTGCTTAGAAAAGAGTTTTACAAACTCTTAAGTCCTGCACTGGAATGCACCGCTTGACAAATGCTTCACTACTGTGTAAGAGGCGCATGCACTAGCTACAGTTTGAGAAATGTTAACTTTGTTACATGGCAAAGATTAAGAAGTTGAGGTACAATTGAAGGGAATTAGAAAATTTCAAAAACAAAGGCAAAAAATAGGGTAGGAAAGAAAAATAAGCTGTCTTCTCAAATTCGATGGCAAGAAAGCAAAGACCAAGACAGTTTTTCCACATTAAGATTCTAAAACGAAACCTATTGTCACTATTTCTTTGTTTCCTGCTCTAAACAGACTGTGGACCTTAAAGAAAGGGAAGAGTGCATTTTTTATGTAGTAGACAGAGCTCCAGATATAGTTCTTCAGGCTCTGAGCCATTCCATACAAATAGCAGCTTTTGCACAATAAAACACTGCTTTTATTAAAGGTAAATCTGAATTCTCTGCCAAAGCCTGGCTATTCCGACCGAGCAAAGAAGTCTGAGAGTGAGTTTTTATGGACAGATTAAGTTGCAGTGCTTAGTCTGCCTTGATGTCTTCTTTCCTCCTGTGCAAGGGAAGGATACAGTTATAGTTTGATTTTCACCTGTGCCAATAGTGTCAGCACATAGTGTCAGCTTGCTTGCATATTTATACCTGCCTCTGGAAATTTCCACTACATGCATCCAACAAAGTGGGTATTCACCCACGAAAGCTTATGCTCCAGTACATCTGTTGGTTTATAAGGTGCCACAGGACTCTTTGCGACTTTAACACTGTTCAAGGCTCTCCTTGGTGTGTGGAAGAAAAGTCTGGCCAAGTCACTGCCATCCCATTTTGGCTTCTGTGTCGCTGCATATTCTCTCTGTCCACAGATTCCCAGTGGAGAACTGTTGCAGGTGACAAGTCCATTGGGCCTGCTAGATATGATGGCTGGCTACCAGAGGGATGCAGTCAAAGGACCCAGCCAGGGGGTGGTTGGACCGTGGGACTGCATTTCAAAGAGAAGTGGAGGCAACAGCTTGCCCCTTGATGGAATGGCAAAGAGGTCTCAGCAAGGTAGTCTATCCCAGGACCATGACAGAAGGCACCGACTCGCCTTCAAGTCCATAATCAGGTACCATACCCATTATTTATTCAGAATTAGAAAATAATTGGAATAAAGCCCCCTTCCCTCTGTACTGCAGAGGAACTTCTTCCCTGCTCCAAGACATAGAATTGATTCCACCTCTTGAAGCACAAAAACTCTCAGGGTGCAACTATATGATCTGGAGATGAGAAGTTGCCTTCCCCACCACCCAAGTATTTCTTAAGAATCCCAGTGTCTAGCACATTGTTTTTGAAGCTCATTTCCCAAGGTTTACATTAGTCAGGTCTCCTGAGAAATGTTACACACATTTCCACAGTACATAAACATTTGCACGTCTAATACAATGAACTCCTAGGAAATGTTCAGCAGACACTTGGAGATCCTCCAGTGCCATGGATGATTTTATAATAAGAGGATGGTGAAGTGAGAAGCAGAGTAGGGGTTGGCAGCACCAGTCAGTGTTACTAATGCAATTGGTATCGAGCGAGTTGCCAGCCTCACAGAGTCAGTATTAGGGGCAGCTAGTGTCCTTTCCTGAGACAGTGCCTACAGTCTAATACCGGTCTTTTTTAGGACTCCAGTGGTACTCACTCCAGGTCAAAAAGTCCCCTTACACTGGGGTGAGGTGTGACCATAGCCTCTTCAAGCTTGCATCTGTGGGGGGAGGAACAACGTTCCTTGCTGCCACTCTTATGGTTTAGAATAGGACCTGGCTATCTTGCCAGGGTCATCTTGGAGAAAGGAGCCACAGTTCACTAGAGCACTCTTGGACCCAGAGCGTTCAAAAGGGAGAGAGAAGGGCTTGTTTGCCAGGTATGAGACAAACCTCAATGATCTAGAAGAAAAATTTGAGGTGAGTGCCACTAGCCTTCTGTTTCCTTTTTGAAAGATTTTCAGTTATATGTCCCTTACCCAAGAAAAAAAATCTTGTGGCAATCTTTAAGCAGCATAGCTATTTCACAGTAAAGCCAGTTTTTAAAGCTGGGATACTTAAGTTTTAACTGAGTCCTACTATAAGGGAAAAGTTCCTTCTGGAGCAAAGAAATAAAAAAAAAAAAATCTAAATGCTGGTTGGCGCACACACTCTACACTACCAAGCCTAACATATCTCATGTACTGTAATGCTGGGGGTTGAATGAAGCTTGTGAGTGTAACAGCCACCCTTCATTCAGGATAAATATAAGAAATTAAGATCCTTTATGGCAGGGGTGGAGAACCTTTTTTCTATCAGAGGCCATTGGCCCACAGAAAAAATCAAATCACAGGCTCCACACAAATAAAAAGCAACTTAATTTAGGTTTGTTTGGTTTTTTTTGGAGAGAGGGAAATATAAAACATTCCATGGGGCAGGGGTTGGGAACCTACAGGCCAAATGAAATTAAGCAATGGGCTAGATATAGCCCATGGGCCATATGTTACCCACCCCTGCTTTATGGAAGAAAATAGCTAAAACAATAGGAGCCACTGCCTGAAACACACATGCCACATGCAAGGCTAGTCAGGCATCTAAGCTATGTGGGTGGAAGTTTCAGTGGGGATTGAATGCAAACTAAGTGCTGGGTATTGCTGGATGGAATTGTGGGGATGTGTGTAAAAAGCAGCTGAGAAAAACACAGAAGGCAGCAAGGAAGCACCAGGGTCACAGGAGCACATCTAGTATGACTGTGTATTGTGAAAAAGCTAAGAGCTTTTGTGTAGTCTTCTAGCTGGAAAGTGTCTTGGAACAATGAGCAAAAAAAAGTCTCCTGTTTGTTTACAAAGAACATCCAAAGTCCTCCTCATGAAAAGAGAACTGCATCAAAGAAAATACCTGACTCCATCATCAGTTTCTCCTCCTAGTGGAAACAGCCCAGAAGATCCCCAAGGATGGCTAACTACTCAGTATTGCTATCCCTTTTGACCTGTAGCCAGAGATTTTTGGGGAAGTGCTTCAAGCTGTAGACACTGCTGGGGTTCTGCCCTGCCACTACAGGCAGTAAGAAGGAATTGAGGAACAGTTTGGCCCGAGAGCCACATCGGCAAATAGAAATTGTATGGCAGGCCATTAACACTCACAAAATTGGGGTTGGGGTGCAGTTGGGGGTGAGGGTTCTGGGGATGAGGCATTTGGGATGTAGGAGGGGGCTCTGGGCTGGGACAGAGAGGGATCAGGGGTGCAGGCTCTAGGATGGGGATGAGAGGTTTGAGGTGCAGGAGGGTGCTTCATGCTGGGATTGACAGGTTTGGAGAGCAGGAGGGGAATTAGGGTTAGGGTAGAGGGTTGGGGCTGGGGAGAGGCTCAGGGGTGCAGGTTCTGAGCAGCACTTACCTCAAGCGGCTCCTGGAAGCAGTGGCATATCCCTTCTCTGGTTCCTAGATGTGAGGCCCCTGACCCGGTGCCCCAGCTGGAAAGCCAGAGTGGGGCAGAGCCACGTGGTGTGGCTCCCCACCCAGCGCCCCAGCTGGAGCACCGGAGCAGGGTGGTCCCCCACCTGGAGCGTTTTAAGCTGGCCCATGTTTTAAGTGGAGTGAAAGAACAGGGCCGAGCTGCATGGTGCAGCCCCTGACCCGACTCCCTGGTAGGAGCTTGCAGGCTGACTTAAAATGGCTGGATCTGGCCCACAAATGTAGTTTGCCCACCCCAGTACAGGAGCATGATGATAGTCAGGGTTCATGCATGACCTCATTGGCACTGCTAGCCAAATGATTCCAGTCTTGAGCACATGTGCACCAGAAGTGGAATAGTGCTGAGCTGCTCCTGCAGACTTTCACCCATAGCCTAGCAAATTAACAGTGAAGGTGAGGGGTCTCAGGTACTCCTGCTAATGCTTTTGGGGAAGTCAAATCCAATGCAGAAAAACAGGAAAGAGTAAGTGAAACAGTGAGAAAACTATGATGGACAAAATTGTTCCAGATGCATAATCTGCTCTGGACTTCTAGTCCTACCTATTCAAAAAACTTTAAAAATAGGCTCATCAAGGAGATTTTCTACACCAGTATTGGCAACTTCAGTAGCCATACTCTAAACAAGGCTCCTGCAGCTGAAGTCTGCAGCCCCTGTAACCTTGTCTACACTAAGGGTCTCTATATTGCTAACTATATATATTTTTTAAGAAATGTTCCCTAGTGTCTACCAGGTTTCAGCAAAGCAGTGCTGTTTAGGGATGTAAATGTTGGTCTAAAAAGTTAACAGTTAAACAATTAAATTATATCAGTTAACAGTTAACTGAGGTCGCTCCAGCTGGCCTGGCATGGCAGGGGCTGGGGCCCCTCTGGCACGGCTGGGATGAGGGCTCCTCCGGCCAGCACAGGGCAGCCAGTGCTGGGGTCGCTCCAGCCAGCACAGGACTGCCAGTGTTAACGCTTAAGATTGGTTAACATTATGCCTAATACTTTCTGGTTAACCTTTTACATCCCTAGTGCTGTTGGCATCAATCCTACTATTGAGGGCTTGTCTACATGCCCTATGGGACTGTGATT